GCAGCCAAAACACTCCTCCTTATGTTTATCACCTCCCACCTTGATTATTCAAATGCCCTCTTTGCCGGTCTCCCCAGCTTCACCATGCACAGGATCCAAAACTCCGCCGCCCGCATACTCACCTGTACTAAACTCCATACCCCCATCCCACTAGTTCTAGCCAAGCTCCACTGGCTCCCCATCACTGAACGGATCGATCTCAAGATCCTCACTTGTTTTCAAAGCCCTTCATGCCCAGGCACCTCCCTCTCCGACCTGCTTACCCCCCAACCCACTACCTACTCCCTCTGCTCGACTGGCTCCGGACTTCTGCATGTCCCTTGTGCCCTCCATTCCACCATTGGTGGCCGCACTTTCAGCCACTACACCCCGAAACTCTGGAACACTCTTCCTCTGTCTCTTCGCTTTGCCCCTTTCTTTCCCATCTTCAGGTTGTGCCTGAAGACCTTCCTCTTAGACCGTGCTTACGGTCACCTCTGCAAGTTGTTGTTGTGTTCCAGGCAACGGGGGGGGGGGGGTGGGGGGGATGGGATTAAACCAATAGAGAACTGTGGGCATCACTTGTGAATTTGTGACAGAATTTGTCTTCAATGTATGAATGGAGATACGGTTTGGATAAGGACATTTCCTGGGTACCATCTCCCGGTACTGAGTTTGTCTTGCTATTTGTGGAGTCCTTTATCTCAGTGATTAGAGTACTCGCCTTGCAAACAAGAGGACCTGAGTTCAGTTCCTGGCCAGGGCAAAACGTTGGGCAAATTTTCTTACTCCACTGCATCTGTTTACCAGCAGTAAATAGGAACCGGTTGTTAGTCGATTGGCAGATCGCTTTTCCGGGGGTTAATAATCCCTTCCAAAAAAATAATAATAATAATGTGGTCACTCAATCCCCGACTGTTTGTGGGGACGCTGCTGTGTGCAATTGGCTGCCGCGTTTCACCCACAAAATATACAGTCAATTCACTTTATTGTATATTCTGTGAAGTGCTTTAGACGTCTCGAATACGTGATAAGGCACTATATCAAATGCAAGGATTATTATTATTATCTGTCTGTCGGCTGATCAGCTTTGACAGCAACTCTGCTTGTTACATTTCACACTTCTGCAGGTGAACGAGCCTGCAGGGGAGGAATACAGCACAGACGGCACAAGGTGAATTACAGATGTGTTTGGCATCCTGCGTTGATGTGTGCTCGTGGCTCCAAACCAGCTCCAGTCTCTGTACACATCTGTAATTTGCCCCTGACCAGATGTGCTGCACAAGAAACAAGGGGCTCATAACTGCTGGGGCTCCTTAACTGACCCCCTACTTGCCAGCTGGAGCTGTCCAAGGAAATCACACACTCGGAAGCTTCTCCTCTGATATTGCTTTGAAACATATACTGTTTCGTAGCGACATCAAAGCTCTTGATAAAACATGACCTCTGAGGGAGGCATTTAATAGTCAAGTTGAAATCATTTGCAAGCAAGTTAGATACTGTCATACTAAATAAATTGTAGATTCATTGGTTTAATTGGTTTAACTTCCCGCTAACCGTGTAGGGTGAGGAATATTAATCCTGGTCTGTGCTGGAGTATGTTATTTATTACCTTTAATATGTTTTCACATCGGCGTGGAGCAGTGGCAAATGTTTATTACTGGGCTGGCGTTGGTCATATTGTGGCGAACACAAAATTAAATGCAATTTGATGTGAACGAGTGGATCATGGATAGGGTTGAAGCAATGAACTGATTTCGGGAGATTCTATTGCGTATGATTTGTAAACTGGACTGATGATGGGAATGAAGGCATGGTCAAAGAGAAAGGTCTTGAGGTGGGCCTTTCAAGAGGCAAGGAAGGGGGCGAGGCAGAGGGGCTCTGGGATAGAGTTCCAGAGAGTGGCAGGGTGGGGGACATAGAGGAAACCCATGGAACTGGCTGCTGCATTTCACCCACAAAATACAGTCACTTCACTTTATAGTATATCCTGTGAAACGTTTTGAGACGTCACAACAACGTGATAAGGCTTTTATCAAATGCAAGGATTATTATTATTTTAAAAAGCCTTTGTTAATGTAGTGAACATTAAAATGATAAACATTAGGGATTCTGTGCCAGTATTTAATAGGATAAATAGTTCAACAGTATTGTGTGTGTGTGTATAATTATACATTATTTACAATTAGGCCGTTTACAGAACAGAAATTAGCATTTTTAATGTGTGTTTCTAATGTTGGTGGAGAAGGTGATGGCATGTCTCTGCTTGACTAGTTTTGTACTTGCTCAGGGAAATGTAATGTGTTTTTAATGCAAAAGCAAACCATCAATTGGAGTGCTCCCTGGGGAAACTGGGCTAGTTTTCAGCTGCCATTAAGTGATTTCTGGAGTGACCTGTTGAACTGCATTGTATAGAGCAACCAGCAATACATCCATAGCTGCGTCTGTCGCAAGCTGAGCATTAACGCGCTCTCACAGTGAAACACATGACACACGGCTTGCTGGTGAGACCTGGGTTGTGAGCACAAAGGGAATTGTAGGTGATAAATATGTAATTAACCAACAACGAGTTTTCACAACTGGCTTAATAGACTCACTGTTTACACATGGTTTGCACAACTCCTATAATAGGTAAAAATACAGAGAATTACATAGAATCTACAACACTGGAAACAGGTCATTTGACCCAACTAATCCATACCCCAGCCTCTACCCCTCTTTTCCTCTCCCTCTGTGTCAGGTGAATGGCCAAATGTGTATTTGCCTTTAGTTGTAATGTCAGCACTGTAGAGATTTTATTTGTGAATCTTCATTGAAACCCTGTGTTGGAGTACTATATTTGACCCGGCACTTGGCTGTAGGAATGCAGGAAGCAATGTTTAGCATGTTTGACAGGGTGGCCACAGGCTTGCTGTTATCTGGAGACAGACTGGCAAAGCTGCTCAGACCCAGGGTTAGGAAACTGAGGAGAAAGAAACAAACAAACGGAAACTGGAGTGGGCAGCTCACTGTTCATCAATTGAATTTTCTTCAGTCCTTGCTTGATACCACAGGAGTTTATTACATATTCACCAGCTCACCCAGTGAAACTGCAAGTCTCCCTCTCTGGCTCTGGCCAGGGATGTTGACTGGAGTGAGGGGAGGGCAGCTGAGAGCTCCTGTCCTGTGTAACTGGAGCTGAGCCACTCCACACTTCAGCACTTGTCTCGCTACATCTACATCGCTGACGTTGCTGGCTAATGCAGTGCATTAGAGCGGCACATTAGACTTGCAGTTTCACCGGGTGAGTTGGTGAATATGCAATAAACTCTCCTGTGGTATAGCGAGCAAGGACTGGCTAGATTGAGTGCTGTGTTACAGGGGGTGGGGGCACGATGGCGTGACACACTCTGTGCTGTGAGATGTTCTGATGTCCCAATGACTGAGCTGGGAATGTTGGGAATTGATTCTCAGATGATTATTAAATGGAAAGTGCAATCATACACACCAGATGTAAACAATGGCAGCTTTCTTTCCAGTTGTGTAAACCATGTGTAAGAGTGTGGTTTATTCTGCCAGTTGTGTCAACTTCTCAGTGGTTAATCACTAGTCATTGACTTATGTGAGTGGCTTCATCTGTACCAAAGGCTGATGTGTGATGGTGAGGGAGCAGTGAGTGGGCCCAGTGTAAGCACATGCTCTATGTGCTCCGACTCGGGGAACAGCTGATTAATGCGGTTTTCAGTAAAATTAATCAAATTATTCCCTCTCCCCCACGCTCTCCCCATAGCAAATTTATCCTCCCCAAATATCTATCCACTTCTCTCTTGAAAGTTGTTATTGAATCTACTTCCACCACTCTTTCAGGCAATGCATTCCAGAGCCGAACAACAAATTTAATTTGTAGTTGCTGCTTGTTGCTTGCATTTTAATGCATCTGCATGTTAAGGACCCCAAGATCAGCGTAGTCACATGCAGGAGTCTGCTCTGGTTCGGGGACAGTTGATTAATGTGGTGTTCAGTGAAATGCAGTGGGACTCTGGGTAGCCAATATTGATTGAGGTGGACGGCTGTGTTAAAGGAGAGAGTGTGTGTGTTTGTGAGAGGTACAGCGTGTCTGACGGTGATTGAAAGGTATTGTTGCATCGGGAAGTCACTGGGCTGAGGGGTGGTGGCACATTGTATGCAGATGGAGAGGACTGGTGAGTGAGTTGGTGAGTTTCTGCATTCAAGAACAAGGGAGCTCTGAGCTACTGGAGTTCCATTAAACCAATCACGTTAGCCAATATAGATGAAGATGGTACGTTAAGTTACACTGGGAAAGGGGTTAAACAACCGTATCTTCATTTTACATTGGCTGCCATTAGTGATTTAATGGAATGCCTGCCTGTTCAGCAATTTATGACCTTAATACATAACCTCTGTAATACAGCCTGTAACATATGGGTTCACTTTACACTAGTAGTAGCCAACCTTTACAAAATAAATTTTCTTCATCCAATATTTCAGGATTTATGCCATATTTATGCCATAAATCAAGAAATGTTCAATCAAGAAAAAACTGAAAACACAAGACCATTGAACACAGACTTACCTCAACAATTGCGAATGTTCGGGGGAAGGCACTTCTAAAGACAGGTTGGCCACCACTGCTTTACAGCCTGTCCACAACGATGCTTATTTTTAACTAATTAAGTTGATGAATTGAACTGCTAATAATCGGCAGTTATGTGTGTGAGGCCAGTGTTGTGTATTGTTGGCTGCCAGGGGTCAACTGATCGCTTATAAACAGCTGACATTGGGGCAGGAGCTCAAGCAGCTCATGACTTACTCTGAACCTACACACAGTGATAACACAGTGAGCAGTTAGCTCCTGAGTGCAGCTGAGTTCTGCACATGGGCTGGTGGGGCTCCGGGACAGTACTTTGTGTGAAGGACGCTATACAAATGCAAGTTGTTGTTGTTGGGAAATGCAATGCGCAACAGGAGGGAGAGCAGCAGTGATTGCCTTGTGTTATAATCCGGTTTCCCTTCTCCTGCAGAAGCAGCGCACGGTGTACAGGCTGACGCTGGTCAAGGCTTGGAACGTGGATGAGCTGAAAGCTTACTCTGATTTGATTGATGTCGGAAAGCCAGACTTTATTGAAGTTAAGGTGAGCATCGCGTTGTATTCCAATCAGGAAATCTCACTGTATGCCGTGTACAGAAGGGAACGATGACCAAAAGCGCAGACAGAATGGTCAGTAATGGTGACATCTGAGCAGCATGTCCACCAAACTGCCAGTTACACAGAAGCTGCCTCATGAGGGAGATCTCAAAGCACTTCACAACGTGAGAAAAGTCAGGAATGAAGGGAATGTGAGCATGGACGCCATTCACCGCCGGACTCTGGGTCCTGAAGCGCCTTGGGACGTCCTCCTGACGTGAAAGGCGCTTTATAAATGGAATCTTGTTGTTGTTGTTGTTGTTGAAGCTTGGGCAGTGCTGTGGCTGGTGAGGGAGCTGAGAGGAAGCCTGCTCTGGTGGCTGTAATGAAGAGTCCTGCAGTCACTCGCTTGCTGCTTCGTGCAAATGAGCGTTCTGTTCTGAGCTCCCGTCAAACGTCCGGCCAGAGGTTGCTCAGTCACCCGGCAGCTAGTGAATAGGTTTCATTATAACGAGTAACAGAAGGCAAAATACTGGAAATCTGAACTAAAAACAAGTCGCTGGCGAAAGGCCATCAACCTGAACCGTTCACTCACTTTCCTCCATAGATGCAGCCTGACCTGCTGAGTGTTTCCAGCCACTTCTGTTTTTATTTCATTATAATGATCTCTGTTGTAAGAGGAAAGTTCCTCTCCTCCAGCGCAGGTCTTGACTTCCTTTGCGTCAGCCCTGGCTCTGGTATAAACCTGAATCTTTTCCCTCTGCCGGTTTCTGAGGGCTGTGTGCGTCAGCATTCAGGTTTATCTTGAGGTACTTTGAAGCCTGAGCCCAGTTTGAGGTAACATGGGGAGGGAATCATTTAAAAATCCCCTTTATGCTGCATAATCAAAAATCTCCTGCGTAAAATATCATTTGTGACCATGATTACAAAAAGCATTGAAATAACACGGTTCGGAAACCTGTCATTTTTCACTGTCAGGCTAATGCTCTCATTAATTCCAGTGGATAAAACAGCAGGTAAACTTCAACATTCAAAGCACCTCAGCAGAAACTAATTTAAAAATAAAAATTGGGTATCAAGATTGTTTTAAGTGGTGCTTTTTTGTTTTTTACTCTGTGTTCACAAAAATAAACTCTGTAATGTTCATGTGGTTTCACTTATTTAAAATGTGGTTTTAAACAAATCCGCCTCTTTATACTCTTTTGAATTTATGGGTTATTTCTTCATTTCCTGAGAAACTTCATACTTTCTGAGGTGGGAAGGAATTAATTGGGGAACTGTACAATCTGAACCCATTATTATACCTGCATTTTTTTTATTGGAACTAAGCAGGTTAATGACAGACATGATAGAATTTGTTAAGACTGAGATGATATAACAGGGTGATTGATTATTTCCACGGGTCACGAGTCAGCAGCTGGAGGCACATATTACAGATAATCACAGAATAAAGGAACAAAGGGCAGGTAGGAAAGAATGGCTTCCCACCAAGAGCAGCTGGGATGTGCAATTCTCTGTCACAAATCCGCAAGTGTATGAAGTCTTTGACGATTGAATTCAGTCTGTGCTCAAAGAGGTGAGTGGGCAGCGGATTCGGTGGATGACGATGAGCAGACACGGACCGGAGAGTCAGTGAGGGAGATTTATTGGCACCCTGTAATGTAGGCATATTCATGTGATTTTTGCATGGTTCACAGCAAGATTGTTCATAATGAGGATCAGGGTCCTTCACAATGGCAGCTCAGGGCTGGGGTCCTTTTGCCATGAATTGAAGAGAAGAGCTGTGAGTGCAAGGGTGCAGCTCAGGAATGTGGTTTTACTGACGCACTCCAGTGAGCAATGACCACTGTTGAGGGTTATGGCTGTTCAGTGCAGTGTTTTCTGTGATTACTTGCCTACCACCACCATCTGGGATTTATGTGGTCTTTAACATTCTCACTCTTTGTTAAACAGTGTTGGAGTTGTGCTTTACTGGTGACTTGATGTTTGTGTAAATCTATTGTGGGATTTACTGCCACAGGATTTTCACCTAATTTTATTCTCATTGATTTTTAAACACAGGTGTTTAATTGTCTCTGCTTTGAAACTAAAGCGATGAGATTTGTGGTAATTCATTTAGATGTTACCAGCTCTACCAGCACCTGAGAACAGAGTGCTCGTGGAATGACTGGCTACGAGGAAGTAGTTTTAATCTGTGTTCTATTGATCAAGTTAATCTGCATGTCCCTGATCCTGGAGAATTGCTTTTTTCTCAGCCCTGAATTTGCTGTGTCTCTGAAGATCATTTTAAATGTTTTCTTTCTGTACAGGGTAATTTACAGGCTCATCACCACCAATCACCCAGCATAAATAAAGTCAATGTTAAAGTTTCATTGATCTCTTGGCTGGAAGATTGTGTGTTCAAGAACCACTTTGGGACTTGAGCTCACAGACTAGGCTGGCATTCCAGTGCAGTGTGGGGGGTGGGGGGGGGTTTGTGTTGTGAGTTTTAGATGGGTTCAATTCCCGGCAGGGCGAAATGTTTGCCAAGTTTCCTTACTCTGCACCTAGCAGTAAGTAGGAACCCAGTTGTTAGACGATTGGCGGATCGCTTTTCCAGGTGTAATAATTCCTTTAAAAAAAATAATAAATTTGGTCACTTCAATCTACGATTGTTTGTGGGACGCTGCTGTGTGCAATTGACTGCCGCGTTTCATCCACAAAATATACAGTCAATTCACTTTATGGAATACTTTGTGAAGTGCTTTGAGACGTCTCGAAGACCGTGATAAGGCGCTGTATTAAAAGCAAGGATTATTATTATAAGTTGCTGGGTCATTGTGTGTTACTAACGGAATCTGTTACTCTCCAGGGGGTGACATACTGTGGAGACAGCTCAGCGAGCAGCCTGACCATGGCTAATGTTCCCTGGCACCAGGAGGTGGTACACTTTGTCCAGCAACTGGCTGACCTCCTGACTGACTATGAAATTGCCTGTGAACACGAGCACTCAAACTGCCTCCTCATTGCACACAGAAAGGTGAGCCTACAAAATACACAGTCACTACGCTTCACAGTAAATCCTGTGAAGCCTTTGAGATGTCCTCCCGATCTGCAAGGTTCTGTATCAAGTGCAAGGATTGTTGTTAATGTTTATGGAGTCACGGCTGCTCATGGCTTAAGGTTTGATGGACTGAGTTGCTAAAGTGTTTCCTGACGTTTAACCATCACCATCACTTGAGCCTGAGAGACATTATCGAATGCTCTCGGACATAATGAAATATCTACTCCCTCGATCTCCATTCAGTAACTCTTTAATAACAATAGTAACTCTCTCAAACAATAGCTGTCATTTATTCAGCACTATCTGCCTTTCACCAGATGTTTAGATTTATTGCCCTCACTCGATATCCTATAGTCTGCAGGTTTCTGTCCCTGTCCCTGCCACCCCCCCGCATCATTCTATAATTTCACTGCTCACGTTCCAGACAGATGATAATTAACTGAACCCCAGTCAGCTTTGCAGACGTCTTCACTATTTAGGGTGTTTTTTTTAACCTTAATGATTCTTATCAATTAGAACATTGTTTCCCACAGTTTGTTGTTGATTTCTTTGAAAAAAATGTGGTTGTGCAGTAATTTGAGACACCGTGATTTCCTATATTCTGCTTTAGACTTTGACGATTCATCAATTGATGTGTATCTAAGGCTATTACACCCAGTCTACAGAAATCAAGTCTCCCAACATTTTCCCATTGTGTCATAACACACGCTCACTAATCAGGTTTAGTGTTGTATTTCATAATGTGCATAAATTATTATATTTATTAGGACAGCTTTCAGTGCTGTGTAAGATTTGTGGTCTATTATAAGAGTGGGCTGCAATGTAGGGAATCAATCTTGGGTTCCACCTGACAACACTATTGCAATGAAATATGATGAGAATGAATTGGAAATTTATTAAGGAATTGGGAGTGCTTTCTCAGGGTGAAGTGGTGCCCTGTGAGTCAGGGTAATTGGATTGCAGACTCCATAGTTGTAGAGAACATTATTGACAGTGTGACTAGAGAGTGGACAATCCCTACAAATCACATCAATGATCTCCTGACAGAAATATCCCACTTCACAGACCATCGCTGATCCTCAGGTTGAGGTGTGAGTGAACTTCAGATATAATTGCAGATTCTTCACTGTTAGGGTCGTTTTATATACCTTAATGATTCTTACCAATTAGAACATTGTTTCCAACAGTTGTCATTGATTTCTTTGAAAAAATGTAGATGTGCAGTAATTCGAAACACATTCCGTGTCTTGACTGTGACAGAGATGAGACTTTGCTGTGGAATTTAGCAATAAAACAACAGACTGGAGCAGGAAGCTGTACGAGCAAGAAGCTTGTAGATTATCATCACTCAGTCACTTAGTCTAATTTGGGGCTACTAATGGCCTCAGGGTTAGGGAGGTGAGAGTCAGCCAGGCTTCCTGCACACCATCACTGGGAGAGGTTACGGTTTGTTGGGATGGCTTCAATTAGGAAAAGAGCAAAACTGCAAATTTTAAAATTAATAAGACAAAAGTAGGGAAAAGACAGCGGCTATGAATAATCTTTCATTTTTCTATACATTAACGTTCTATTTATTGTAGTGAGTTGGGACTGTGGCTTTATACCGTATATTGGTGTCTCTGACATGTATATCAGTTGAGATGCACTGAGTCTCTTGGCTGATTAAGACAGGACTCTTTCCAGAACCTTTGGTAGCCGAGGGGTTAATGGATGGCCATCTGAGCCGCTGCTTACAGCAGCCTCCTGACTGGGCAACTAGAGCCCACCCCCCGCCAGTCACCGAGGCCGTCACTCGTACATTAAAATAATAAAAGAATACAATCTAATGGATGTGTTTAACAGGCACGAGCAGGTCACTAAACCGCTTCACTCATCGGAACTTTTCATTAAGGACTATAAAACTTCCCCAATTATAATAATCCTTTCATTTGATAAAGCGACTATCACGTCATCGAGGAGTTGGATCAATAAATGATGACAAGAGTGTCTTATCTGATTTATGTTATGGATAATCAGATTTGGCGGGGGTGGGGGGTGCTGGGAGTTTCTTGCAAATGCTTCTCATCATGAGTGAAAGCAGATAACGAGCTGATACATACCCTGCCAGTACACCACCCACAGAACCCATTCTTACCCAGGGATTGTTGGCAGAACAATTTGGTGGGAGGCAGGAGGCAGGGATAGAAGGATTTTTTTCATTCAGAGTGTTATTATCATAGATACTTGGGAAGTGATTGGGCAGATGGGGCAGGGGTTGGCTGGGGGATGGGGGAAAGCACATGGGAGTAAAAGATCTGCTGTGAACGGCTGCTGAATTCCATGGGCTTCCTAATTCTGTTGAGCTGTCCCTATGAGGATTCTGGCTAGCGGGATGTTCTTGCTGTGATCTGAATCACTGATCGCCTGGTTCTCTCTTGTCTTTTTTCCAGTTCAAAGTGAATGGAGAATGGTGGACGTGGATAGACTACGAGCGATTTCAGGATTTAATCGCGGGTTACGAGGAGAGCGCAGGTGCCAGGACCTTCTCGTCAGAGGATTACATGGCGAAGACCCCGCTCTGGGCTCTGTTTGGGGCCAAGGAGAGGGGCTTCGACCCCACTGATGTGCGTTTCTTACGGAGGAAACAGAAGGACATCTCCGGGTGCTGATGGACCTACGCGTGGAGCGGGGTTGGCTTTCACCACAGATCATACGTCAGCTCTCACTCCCATCTTTATCTGTGAAGTGTTGGGGAGCAGATGCGGAGATCTCTGGAGTATTGGGAGACCATGAGCTGCCATTGGTTTCAGCTCAAGTGAAAGTTAACTAGTGACTAGTGAAAGTTAGGCTATCCATGGGCAGGATGTACTGCACCCCACAGCGAGCCACATCCCGTCACATGATTATTCAGGGATGAAGATAAATGGCAATGTAAATCCAAGATCTCAACGTCTCACAGGTTTAACTTCTCTTCGGGTTTGTCTCACTTTTTCCCTGTTTGTTGTTCGATCTCTCCCTGACTCAACAGGTTCAGCCCTCACCACCTCCACCCTGTCACCTGTTCGAGCCTTGTCAGATCAGTGTGTCTGTCTGTGAGTGAGTGTGTGTTTCAGTGTCTGTCTGTGTGTCTGTGAGTGTGTTGTGTCTGTCTGTCAGTGTGTGTGTCTGTCTCTGAGTGTGTTTATGTCTGTCTGCATCTGTCTGTCTGTGTGTGTGTATGTGTCTTTGTGTGTGTCTGTATGTATGTGTCTGTCTGTGTGTGTGTGTGTGTTTGTATGTATGGCCCCCTGAATTTAGTCAATGACACGTGGGTGATGCTTCTCATCATTGACGCAAGACATATCCGAGTCTGACTGTTCCTGGGACTGTCTGTACGATAGTCAATCTCTTCATTTCTTCCCGTTCATGTGATTTTTTTTTTCTCTCTCCTCTTCCAGCTGTGCACAGTTCAGTGGGAGCCACAGAGCCAAGATGAGATTGAATCCCAATCCCGCTCTGATTCCAATGGAAATCTCAGGCTCTTCCCCGCAAGCAGGTGTCTCCTTCACACCTGAAGTTGCCATGAGGCAGCGACAGTAAATAATGTTTTTATTTTCTGGTTCGTCTTCACTCAACCGTTTTTATAAACGAGGTTAACTTTTAAACGTGTGCTCAGCATTCTGACTGTAATACCGTGTGTCCAGAATAAATATAGTCTGTGACTCTCTGTACTTCTCACACTGCCCTTGATGGGAATTGCCTGCTCGCCTGTGTCACATCTCTGGCCTTTGGGAGAAACCAGAGCGGAAGTGAAGACATTTCAAATTCACAAACCGAACAATTTACAGTTACCAAACTTACTTCCAAAGTGATTACAGCCTGTCTATCATGTTTAATCATTGTGAGTATAATTACTCTTGATATAGGAATACATTTCAGATCCCCACTTACTGGTAATTATAGAGCTGTACGTGAAATGAGGATGCCAAGCATCAGGGCTTCCAATGAGCAGCTTAATGTGCTTCATTTAGAATTTCTCACTGATCGTTTTATTACCATCAAAACCCCCGGCAGCTGTCGGCCATTACACATACAATCCATCAGTTTACTTTTTGCCGTTCTCCTGTCTTTGCCATTGACTGGCCCCTAGGAGAGCAGTTTTCTCAACCAGGACAGGGACTCATCATCAGGTTGAACATTTGTTTGTGTGTGTCGGTGAGTCCTGGGTGCCTGACTGTGTGCACCACAGTTTCAGTGCTGTAATTAACACCAGTCGTGCCTGCCTGGGAGTGCTAGGAGGCTTAGCTCTGAGGACACTGTGTTGAGATCTTGTCTGAGAGCTGCTCCTTTACCCATTCTTGTTCGCTAGATCTATTATTTGTTCTTCCTCAATATCTCCCAGAGCAACTCCTCCTAAAACCAACAAGTTACATTTGTGTAGCACCTTTCACGTCGGGAGATCGTCCCAAAGCACTTTGCTAATCTGTGGCCAAAGGAACCTCGGTAAACCCAAATCACTTAAGTTTATCATGACTGTCTCTCTCTCTGCATTATTTAACAGTGACGCTGACTGTTCACTTAAATACACATCAGCAATTCTGCATTAACATCAGAACCACATTCAGGCAGAGAGCTGCTGCCTCTCTTGTGAGTGTTGTCCACTGAATATTCAGAGTTTAGAAATTGACAAGGTATTTTTTTTGCTGGTGTTGGATGACAGAAAGTATGACAGCTGCAGAATGAGATCCACTTTGGAAAGCTGATCAGTTTTGTTCTATGGGCAGAAGCTGTAAATTTGCCGTTGACACATCTGCTATTGTTCAGGAGAAGCTTCGCGGCCTGGCTGGGTTTTATTGCCAGTGGTTTAGGATGAATCGCTGGAATAAATAATTCTGAAGTGAATGTTTCTGTCTCCACTCCACCCCCCTACCATTGGAGAAAAAGTATTGTCAATGCTTCCGCTCCACCACTATAGCATAAAAGTCCGATGGTGGCTGATCCTCCAGCACAGGCCATGTGGTGCCACAGTGTGCAATAACATGGCTTGTGTGTTCAGTGCACACTCCACACCCACTCTGGAGAGGGCAAGAGAAGCTTTGAGAGAGAGAGAGAAAGACACTTTCTGACCTGGCAGATGAATGGTGATGCTCACAGAGAACTGCTCTCTTCCTCTGACCAATTGGCAATGCAATGGATTGACTGGATACCAGGTCGGGTCCTGCCGTGTTGGCTGGGAAAATGGAGTGTGGAGAGAAGAGGATGGGAGAAACGAACTGAGCGAGGATCTCGACTTTCCAATAGGTGTGATTGAAATGTTTAAAGAAAATCGTTTGTCATTGCCTTTTTCTTTTCAACAACTTATCGCGAGCACCTGATCTGTTTTTTGCCCTTGAACATCCGCAAGTCATTAATCAGTTCTTCAAAGGCTCACTGAGCAGATTAGGAATCCGGGAGCCTGACAAAACCGTCCTCTTGAAATAATAGTATCAAACAAGCGGTTTCACATTCTTGGGGTAATTAAGGCAGTGGAAATATGATCCCTTTTACATGAATTATTGCTATTCACCAGAGAGAACATTACAGGAATGTTGTCTCAAGTTCAAGTCTGATGATTGAGGAGAATGTCTGATCGGGCGTTGGTGAAAGAATGTTCCATAATCAGCCTAAATGCCTGTTTATATTTTTATTTTTCTCTGTTTCTCTTCTCTTGTCGCCCCACCATGATTTACAAACACTAACCTGAACTGGTCTCAACCGAGATAATAATAATAATAATAATACTTGCATTCGATATAGTGCCTTATCACTTCTTTGAGATGTCTCAAAGCTCTTCACAGAGTATACTGTAAAGTGAATTGACTACTTTGTGGCCGGAACGTAGCAACCAACTGCGCACCGCAGTGTTCCCACAAACAGTCATGGATTGAGTGACCAAATTATTATTTTATAAAAAAAATGGAAGGGATTATTGCTCCGGAAAAGCGATCCACTAATTGACCAACAACCAGGTTCCTACTTAATGCTAGTTAAACCGGGGTGTGGAGTAAGGAAACTTGCCTAATGTTTCGCCCTACCTGGGAATCGAACCCAGGTCCTCGATTGCGAGGCGAGTGCTCTACACTATAGGACTCCACAAGAGAGGTTGAAATGTGAAATGTATGTGAAAGATATTTTCATGAACACACAGCAGCCATGATGAGTTACTGTGGCTACTTACTGTAAATTAACAGCTTACTATTCACAGAAGCAGACAGGAGTCTCTTTGAACTTGAGCTGAGACTTTTTGGTAATGTGACTGTGCAGCCAGCCGTATGGCAAGCAGACCCGCTCCCCAAACAACGAGTCAAGAAATGGGTTGAACTTGTTGTTTATAAACCATATGGCGGCATCCAGTCCTTGACATGAGTGCAGTTCAACGGACCTCTACACGCCAGCAATACCATCTGTAATTGAAGCAATATTTTTTGATATTGTGTTTTTTATGTCAGGAGCACATCGCGAAACGCTTCACAGAAATTTACTGCTGGCACAGCGTAGCCCAGCTCACTGAGATGGAGGGTGGTGGCTTTACAAAACATAGCAATATCGTCTTAATCAGCGGGCGATTTGCCCCAGGCTCACATTGTGCTGGGGTCAGGGCAAGGCGTGTGATACACTCAGTTGACCTTAAACATTCTCGACGTGTAGCCGTTTAGAATCACTTTTTTTGAACAGATCATTAGTGGTGCAATTTGTACTTATTCTCTTTCACCTCCATGCCCGGTGGTGTGTGGGGGGGGAAGCAAACAGCGATGCACAGTGAAAAGTTACTGTCAAATGCACTTTCTACATTTCCTCTGTGGATGCAGTAAGCACTGTGGTTTTATTTTAATGTTTAATAATCGAGTCAGGTCTACTACTCACGTCAGAACTTGCTCGATGCAAACTCTGATTGATTTGGGCATGTTCCCTTGAAAGGAATTCACAATGAAATATTAATGCCAGCGATCAGGGGCACAAATATTTTTTTCCTCTCTACTGGAATGAAGATATTATAAATCACCCATTGTATTATGTTCTCGCTGTTCACACTGAGCAAGTGCCTCTGAGAAGTGATCGCTCTTTGGTCGCTGAGTGTTTCTCCGTTGAAGGAAACTGGAAATTTAGAACAGGAGAGTCTGGTTTAATCATCATCATCTTCCTGTTCTCTTCTCCGTTTCCAGGAATTCCATCTCTCTTCCCATCTCTCAATCTGTCCAGCTCTCTCTCTCCCCATCCTCTTCCATCCTAAAAACTTCCAGATAAATCAATCAATTGTTCACCCCATGGTTGTTTATGGGCCTTGCTGAATTGCCTACAAAACAATTGCATCACTTGACCAGGAGTTGCCTAGTGGGTGCACAGCAGCGTATTGAAATACGTTGCTGTGTTTTACGTGTGACTTTCCTGATTTCTGTTTACTTGTGTCCATGTTTGTGTTCTTCCTGTTGGCATCAGTCAGCTATTAAATAGCATCTGCAATTTCAAAATCCTGTGCACAGCAAGTTCTTTTTTTCTTAATATAGGGATTTTGAAATATTTATTATTTCAGGAAGTAACTAAACCCTTAGAGGTCTCGTAATGTGCGTTGCAGATATTTGTCTGTAAAATCTCTCCTGCAATCCTCTTCATTATTTAATATCTTTCTGACATGATGATCACCTGCCTTACACGTTAACTTCATCAACACTTACGGCGGAATGGTGTAAATTATAACATTGGGGGAAACTATATAGAGAGGGGAGAGCTTTTTCTTTTGGGGTGGGGGTGCTAGGGTTGGGTGATGGGTGTATGAAATGGTCTGATGTGAGGAGTAATAAAATCTTATTCGTAAAAGAGATTTTCCATCAGTAATCAAGTTAGAATTACGTTACAATTTTCTTTGTATTATTCTGTCCTTCCCTGTAAATTTTAGTGTTTTGATCTATCTTCTTGTCAGAGTGGGTCAGTCTGGCAGTAACAGGCTCCTGCTGGGACCTCACTGAGCAGTCACCTCTCCCAATATCTGTGTCATGTTCCTGATAATCTGCCAGTCCCTCCACTGGTCTAACCCACATCCTCTGATGTAACACAACAAACATGAGGCTTCCTCATTAATGGACTATTGTAGTACTGACTTGATGTGTATTGTGCTTCTCTCGGTAACCACCCACCCTGAGAGAGACTATTGTTTACCGAGCAGTAATAGATGTTGAATAGATGTTGCCTTGAAGACAAGGGAGCCGAGCGAGGATGGGGGTGATAGGGTGACGGAGCCTGTTGTGGGAGAGGACACGAGCTGCAGAGTTCTGGATGATCTGCAGCTTGTGGAGGGAAGAGTTGGGAAGGCCGACAATCAGGGAGTTGGCGTAGTCGAGCTTAGATGTGATGAATGCGTGGACGAGGGTTTCGGCGGGCTGAGGGGTGAAGCAGTGGTGGATGTTGCGGAGGTGAGCGAAGGCAGAGCGTGTCTTGGTACGGGTGTGGGACAGAAAGGACAGTTGAGACGTTTCGAAGACCTGATAAGGTGCTCGCTGTATCAAATGCAAGGATTATTATTATTGATGTAGAGCTATAGCTACACACTCTGAGAGAGAGAGAGAGTATTGTCGAGCTGTAGAGTCTGAGTGAGCTTCCTCTAAAGGTCTTTTTGGTGACTTACAGGTATTTGGTTTTATCACCTTTATTTCTTCCCCAGCCTGGCCTTCTCTTGCACACGTTCGCTTCAGTCAAAGGCATTTGCGTGCACTGGCTCTGCCTGCAGGGTGTTGCCTGACTGACATTGGGACGTTTGTTGCTGACACTGAGAGGTTGAAATGTGAAATGTATGTGAAAGATATTTTCATGAACACACAGCAGCCATGATGAGTTACTGTGGCTACTTACTGTAAATTAACAGCTTACTATTCACAGAAGCAGACAGGAGTCTCTTTGAACTTGAGCTGAGACTTTTTGGTAATGTGACTCTTCACAGAATATACTGTAAAGTGAATTGACTGTATATTTGTGGGCGAACGCGGCAGCCAATTGCGCACAGCAATGTCCCACAAACAGTCGTAGATTGAAAATGACCAATTTATTATTGTTTTTGGTTTTGGAGGGATTATTATTAGGCTCTGTGTGGAGTAAGGAAACTTGCCCAAGGTTTCGCCCTCTGCCTGGAATTGAACTCAGGTCTCTCACTTGCAAAGCGACTGCTCTAACCACTGAGCTACAGGACTCCACAAAGTGGAGTTATATTCAATGCCGTGACAGAGACCACAAAGGGTCAGAATTTTTCAGATTATTTTAATAAATCTATAAATGTTATAATCAAACATACAAAAGCAGATTTTTGCATCATCATTTGCCCCAAAAATTGTAAAAAAAAATTATGATCCACAATCAAGTCAGATTAAATCCCGGATCCAATCCGGGAATTGAACAAAAGTAATAATCAGAAACGTAAAAACTCTAAACGTGTTCCTGTAAAATCTCTGAAATGGAGCCTGTTTAGCTCAGCCATCGCGTCAGTAACAATTTACTATTATTTCATTTTGCCCATAAACACACGGTCAATTCACTTTACAATATATTCTGTTATTCTGTGAAGTGCTTTGAGACGTCACACCCATGTGATAAGGCGATATATGAAACACAAGGATTATTATTAGATTATTTTGTTCTCGGAGTCGCTACTTTGCGTGAAGGGCATTATATAAATGCAAGTTGTTGTTGCATTTTCTTCTCTCGGGGAATCACTCTGAAACGGAATCAAAATATCCCTGGAGTGTATACCTGCTGTGCTCCCGGGAGCAGGTTATTCCAACAGCTGTCTTTTGGGCGAAGATTTTTCCCTAAATGAATGAACGTCAGTATTCAGTACAACCTCACACTGCCTCTGTAATCCAGACAATAATTTGATATAGCGTCTTGTCATGTCATTGAGACATCTCAAAGCCTTTCACAGGATATACTATTAAGTGAAGTGACTGTGCATTTTGTGTGCAAAACTTGGCAGCCAATTACGCACAACAGTGTCGCACAAACAATCATGGATTGAGTGACCCAATTATAGTTGGAAGCGGTGATTACCCCCGGAAAGCAATCCACCAATCGATTAACAACCGGGTTCTTATTTAGTGCTAGGTAAACAGAAGCGAGTGGAGTAAGGAAACTTGCCTTAGGTTTCGACCCGCCCGGGAATCAAACCTGGGGACTCTCACTTGCCACTAAGGTACTGGACTCCACATCTACCACAAATTCAATAAAAAATTTAATTTTGCAAAGATTATCTACAGGGTTAACTCCATCCGAGCTGGTTCCCCGCAGACGTTTAACATCTACCCAGATTCAGATGCAATAAGGTCATTTTTAATTAAAATGTTTCAGTTGCAGCTCATCAGATTTAGCTTGAGGAAATCCCAGAACTGATAACAGATAGAAACTTGTGAATAATACATGTCTGATTTATGTTTCAAAATTCACTCTGCCTCTAATTCTTTACATGGGAAATGGAGACCCATTAAAGACCATTTGTTTTAATTGCTTAAAAAATGGGACTTTCAACCCACGCTTCGAGACCTAGGATTTGTCTCCAGCTGTTGTATTTACCAGATTACAGATTTTATCCCCACTCTGTCCGAGTCAGTAGTCTGGGGGTCATCTGGACAGTGAGAGTGTAGAAGTTTTGATTTGCTTTTGTATTGACGTCACGTTACAATACAATAAAAATTTACATTTATATATCACCTTACATGTCGGTGTATGGTGTTTGCTGTAAAAATAATAATAGTAATTTGGTCATTCAGTCCATGACTGTTTGCAGGACATTGCTGTGTGCAATTGGCTGCTGCGATTCACCCACAAAACAGATCGTCAATTCACTTTACATTATATTCTGTAAAACGCTTTGAGACGTCTCAACGACGTGATAAGATGCTATATCAAATACCAGGATTATTATTACATTTTTATGTATGTACAGGATGTTTGTGTGTGTAAAGTGTGTTTGTGTGTATGTATGTGGAGTCCTGTAGCTCAGTGGTTAGAGCACTCGCTTTGCAAGTGAGAGACCGGAGTTCAATCCCAGGCAGAGGGCGAAACCTTGGGCAAGTTTCCTTACTCCACACAGAGCCTAATAATAATCCTCCAAAACCAAAAACAATAATAAATTGGTCATTTTCAATCTACGACTGTTTGTGGGACATTGCTGTGCGCAATTGGCTGCCGCGTTCGCCCACAAATATACAGTCAATTCACTTTACAGTGTGTTCTGTGAAGCGCTTTGGGACGTCCTCTCGACGTGAAAAGTGCTATATCAAATGCAAGGATTATTATTATATTACAGGGTGTGTGTGTGTGTGCACAGGTTGTTTGTGTGTGTATGGTGTGTTTGTGTATAGAGTGTGTGTAAAGTGTCTTTGTGTGTGAAAAGTGTCTTGTGTGTGTACAGTGTTTGTGTGTGTACAGTGTGTTTGTGTGTGTGTGCACATGGTGTTTGTGCGTTGGTGTTGGTGTACCAGAATAAAACCAGGTTCTTGTTCCCACCGACATGCCAGCCCCCCACCCGAAGGCTTGGATGGTGACATTACCGCTAACATCCCCTCCCCTGCCCCTGTCACAGCTCAGATACCTTCCAGCGGGTCCACACCTCTGGTGGCCCTACCTGTGCAGCTCTCTGAGAGACACTGAATCCTGCAGCCTGGAAACACGGCCCATTGTTTGTGTGTGTGTGTGTGTGTGTACAGGGTGTTTGTGTGTGTACAGAGTGTCTGTGTGTGTGTGTGTGTGTGTGTGTGTACAGGATGTTTGTGTGTGTACCGGGTGTTTGTGTGTGTGTACAGGGTGTTTGGGTGTGTACAGTGTTTGTGTGTGTGCAGTGTGTGTGTGTACAGGGTGTTTGTGTGTGTGTATAGTGTGTGTGTACAGGGTGTTTGTGTGTGTACAGTGTGTGTGTGTGTACAGTGTGTGTGTGTGTGTGTACAGTGTGTGTGTGTACAGGGTGTTTGTGTGTGTGTACAGGGTGTTTGTGTGTGTACAGGGTGTTTGGGTGTGTACAGTGTTTGTGTGTGTGCAGTGTGTGTGTATACTGGGTGTTTGTGTGTGTACAGTCTGTGTGTGTACAGGGTGTTTGTGTGTGTACAGTGTGTGTGTACAGGGTGTTTGTGTGTGTACAGTCTGTGTGTGTACAGTGTGTGTGTGTACAGGGTGTTTGTGTGTGTGTACAGTGTGTGCTGTATTCCCATCGGGAGAAGGTCAGACATGTCCTTGATGCTGCTGTAGCTCAGGGCAGGACACGATATCCATCTGCTCATTACACAACAGCCAGGTTCCTTCAGAGAGAGACCAGAGTAAAACCAGGGTCGGGGTGGGAGTGGGCTGACATGTTCACACTCACCATCATGTTCACACTCACCATCATGTTCACACTCACCGACACTGAAATAGAATCCTAGAATTATACAGCACAGGAGGAGGCCATTCGGCCCATCGTGTCTATGCCGGCTCTTTGAAAAGAGCTTTTCCAAATCAACCCCACTCCCCCGCTCTCTCCCCATAGCCCTGATCAACCCCACTCCTCCACTCCCTCCCTATAACCCTGATCAACCCCACTCCCCCTCTCTCTCCCCATAGCCCTGATCAACCCCACTCCCCCTCTCTCTCCCCATAGCCCTGATCAACCCCATTCCCCCCACTCTCTCCCCATAACTTGTCCTCTCCAAATAATTATCTACTTCTCTCTTAAAAGTTGTTGTCGAATCAGCTTCCACCGGCCTTTCAGGCAATGCATTCCAGATCCCAACAACTCACTGCGTGAAAAATTTCTCCTCACCTCCCGTCTTTTTTTAACAACTATTTTAGTGTTACTATTACTGCCCACTCAATCCCACTCCCCCGCTCTTTCCCCATATCTTTACAATTTTTTTCTTTTTTGAGTACCTATCCCATTCCTTTTGAAAGTTGTTATTGAATCTGTTTCCACCCTTTCAGGGAGTGCATTCCAGACCGTAACAACTATCTGTGTAAAAAAATGGCACCTCCTTTCCGCTCTGGTTCTTTTGCCAATTATTTGAAATCTATGTCCCAACATATTTATAAGGTTTGTATGTTTATACCCGCTCTGCCTTCCCCCACCTCTGCAACATCGCCCGGCTCCACCACTGTCTCACACCGCAGGTCCCCGAACCCCTCATACACGCTTTCATTACATCGAGGGTTGACTATGCAAACTCTCTGCTTGTCGGCCCTCCAACTCATCTCTCCACAGGCTGCTGATCAACCAGAACTCTGCAGCCCACAGCCTCTCGCGCATCAGGCTCCGTGACCCTATCACCCCCATCCTCGCCCGACTCCACTGGCTTCCCATCACACAGAGGATACAGTTCAAGATCCTGGTCCTCACCTTTAAAGCCCTCCATGGTCTTGCTCCCCCCGACCTCTCCGACCTCCAAACCCCCTACCATCCTGCCTGCTCCACGTGCCCCGCCTCGCTCACCCCACCATTGGCGGGCGGGCCTTCTGCCACTCTGCCCCCACCCTCTGGAACTCCATCCCGCAGTCCCTCCACCTCACCCCCTCCCTCGCCACCTTCAAGACCCTCCTCTTCGACCGTGCTTTCGATCATCCTGCTTCCCCCCCTGCCCTCCACCCTCTGCGATCCTGACCCCCAGCTCGGGTCTGAAGATAGATGACCAAAACTGCAGTCAAAGAGGTAAAGAGGTCGGTGTTAAAACTTGTTGAAATGTCTGGTCGGGAGGACGTCTCGAAGCTCTCGACCAAGTAGATATTTTTTATTCACCGACAAGTGACAGCCAGTGTCTGACTTTGGCCTCAGTGTCGGTTTGGACAGTCAGCCTGTGTCACAGCCAGTGAGCTCCCAAGGGGCCGCTCTCACTGCTGAGGTTTGACTCGGTGAGTGGAACGTGGTGATAAACATAAAAGGTTTCGTTCGATTAAAAGTCGCAGGAGGTTTATGTGGATCTGATGTATCTTTCCCACCGTGACAGCGTCGGCTGCAAACCAAAGCTGTGGCTTGGTGGTGAGGCGGTGGGGGCTTGAATGACGACTAACGGTGCCTGTTCTTCCCTCACATAGAAATCAGAGAAGCTTTCCGGGTGCTGGACCGCGACGGCAATGGCTTTATCTCCAAGCAGGAGCTGGGCATGGCCATGCGCTCACTGGGGTACATGCCGAGCGAGGTGGAGCTCGCCATCATCATGCAGCGGCTAGACATGGATGGTGAGATGATTCCTCTTCCACTGTATTTACTGTCCCTCCCCTCTCGCCTCTACTCCTTCCCCCTCTCCCCCTCCCCCACCTCCCTCAAACCCCCCCCTCCACTACTGTCAAGCGCTCCTGGACCCTCCCCTGCATGAGGGGCACTGGTTAAATGCAAGTTGTTGTTGAGAACACGCTCCCTTGCTCACTTTCGTGCCCTCATCCTCAGACCGTCCAGCTCAGCCGTTTGCTGCAACACGACTGCTGAAAAGTGTTGACTGTTGAGGAAACAAAAAATCACTGTGAAATATCTTGAAGCAATTCCTGCCCAGTGTAGTGACTGTGTTTATACACAGACTGTAAACGAGGGTCATTTTCCACTAAGTAAAAGTCTCACAAACAGCAGTGACCTGAGCAACCACCTGACCACCAGATCCTGACGACTGGCGGGGGTGGGGGGGAGTGGTGCGGGGGGAGTGGTGTGGGTGGGGGGTGGACATGGTGTAACAACAACAACAACAAAATACATTTGTGTCGCACCTTTCATGTTGGAAGGAGGTCCCAAGGCTGAACTCTCTTGCCCTCGGCTGCTCTCAGTGAGAGGAGAGCTGCTGCTCTGCTGGTAATTTAGGTTGATTCTGAACGGGAAATGGCTGAGCGTTTAGTTCAGGTGCGTTGGCATCACTTGGAGGATAATTGGGTTTCAGAGCTTCAACATGTCCTGATCACTGATGCCAAACCCGTCGTCGGCTCGTAAATCTGATTCACAACCGCACACCTGCCAGCAGCTCGGCTCACTGTGAACACAGTGTGCAGATCATCACACAGAGAAACACTGAGGGAGAGAGTCTGTAACTGGTCACTGTATAATGTGTGTTTATCAGATCAGCCACACACACACCACACACACATACATACCACACACACCACACACATACACATACATACACACATACATACACACATACCACACACGCACCTCACACACACACATACCACACACACACCATACACAGACACTGAACACACATACCACACACACATACCACACATAGTATACACACATACCACACACACACCACACATACACACATATGACACACACATACCACACACAGTACACACACATACACACACAGGGGCTTTGCCAAGAAATGATTTGTTTTAAAATTGATTTATGTAAATTATAGCTAAAAGGATACAATTTAAAAGTCTTCAACTCAGAGGCCAATTGCGTGTGTGTGGGTGTGTATACGAGTAAGTGTGTGTATGAGTCCGTGTGAGAATGTGTGACTGTGTAAGTATGTCTGTGAGTGTGTGTAGGAGTAAGTGTGTCTGAGTGTGAGTATGAGTGTATGAGTGAATGTGGGTGCGTGTGATTGATTACACAAGTGACTATCGAGATTGAACTGTTCAAAGGGGAGACTGAAATAAACAGTGGAGCATTGAGGAGTGTGTGTAACCCAGAGTGGGGAACAGTGTGGGTACATGCACATGCAACATGCATATACACGCTCCCAAATACACACATGTGTATGTAGACACATACCCACTTACACTCGGCTCAGCTCAGAGACTTACTTCTATTTTGCCTCGACTGTAACATCGGCCTTTTAGAAATGGGCGAGGAATGGATATTGAGATGTGAAATATTCATTGTGTTTTATATTAAAGTCATTTGTTACTCAGTGCGAGAGGTGACAATCAGACAGCGTTTAGTGAGGCTGAGTGTGTGCTCACAGCCTGCTTGATATTCAAAATTACCTGGGAGCTGATGATAATGCTGTCGCCAGAAGCTGTACATTCAGGGTGATGGGAAGATAATTCAATTACAGAGAGAGAGCGAGAGAGAGCGAGAGAGAATTGTGTTTATTTATCATGATATCATCACTTACATCTCAGCCCCTGATCATCCTTACTCTCTGGGATGCTCCCTGTGTGAGGGGCGCTGTGTAAATGCAAGTGGGGGGGGGATGGCGGGAAGAAATTGGTGATTGATACAAAGTTTTTTTTCCAACTTATTCCAAACCTTAAATCGTGATCCGCTCCCCATTCATAGAAACATAGGAGGTATAATTACAGCACAGAAGGAGGCCATTCGGCCCATCGTGTCTGTGCCGGCTCTATGAAAAGAGCTTTTCCAAATCAAACCCACTCCCCCGCTCTCTCCCCATAGCCCTGATCAACCCCACTCCTCCACTCCCTATAACCCTGATCAACCCCACTCCCCCTCTCTCTCCCCATAGCCCTGATCAACCCCACAACCCCCGCACTCTTCCCATAGCCCTGATCAACCCCACTCCCCCTCTCTCTCCCCATAGCCCTGATCAACCCCACTCCCCCACTCTCTCCCCATAGCCCTGATCAACCCCACTCCCCCGCTCTCTCCCCATAGCCCTGCAAACTTGTCCTCCCCAAATAATTATCAACTTCTCTCTTAAAAGTTATTATCGAATCGGCTTCCACCGGCCTTTCCGGCCATGCACTCCAGATCCTAACAACTCACAAAATTTCTCCTCCCCTCCCCTCTGTTTCATTTAACAACTATTTTAAATCGGAGTCCTTGGGTTACCAACCCACCCGGCAGTGGAAATAATTTCTCCTGTTCACCCTATCCAATCCCTTCATAGTTTTAAAACTTCTATTAAGTCTCCTCTTAACCTTCTCTGCTCCAAGGAGAATAATCCGAGCTTCTCTACCTCTCCTGATCACTGAAGTCCCTCATTCCTGGTACCATCCAGTCTCTCGCTGAGGCCTAACCAGTGTTTTATATAAAGGTTCATCATAACTTCCTGACTTGTGTATTCTATGCCCCTATTTATAAAGCCTCGTATCCCGGACGCTTTTTTAACAGCTTTATCTTCCTGTCCGGCCTCCTTCAAAGATTTACTTGTATGAACCCTCAGGTCTCTCTGTCCCTTCACCCCCTTTAAGATTGTACCATCAGCTTATATTGCCTCTCCTCATTCTTCCTCCCAAAATCATCACTTCACATTTCTCCACATTAAACTCCATCTGCCACGTGTCTGCCCATTTGACCAGTCTGTCTATGTCCCCTTGCTGTCTGCTCCTATCCTCCTCACTGGTTACTCCTTTTCCTCGCTTAGTATCGTCTGCAACTTGGAAATTGTCCTCCCTATACCCAAGCCCAGGTCATTCTCCCCACACTCTGTGTGCTCCCCAGCCACCTCACACTCCCCCACGCCCCCCTCCCATGCACTCCCCACATTGTCCGAGAGGCAAAATGCGCCATGTGGCGTTTACTGTGATTCCCCTCTCGCCACCTGGGCAGGCGGCCTGTCTCTCCGGAGCCAGCGGGGTGCAGACAGGAGGAGCGTTACTCTGTGTGCACGCGCTTGTGTGTGTGTAGCTGGACCGTCCATGTGTGTTACAGGTGACTGTGTGTGTTGCAGCTGACAGGTTAGTTTGTGTGTGTGTGTTACAGGTGACGGGCAGGTGGATTTTGAGGAATTTATGACAATTCTTGGCCCCAAACTGCTGACGTCTGAGGTGCGAGAGGGATTCCACGGCAGCGCCATAGACTCCATCTTTTGGCAGGTAAGCTTGTTATTTAATAATAATAATCCATTTGATACCACGCCTTATCGCGTCGTTGAGATGTCTCAAAGCGCTTCACAGGATATAGAGTAAAGTGTAGTGACTGTGTGTTTTGACGCGGGCGGGGCTGGGTTGGAGGTTGCTTTGAGTGCAGTAAGTTCAGTAATCGGTCTCCCCGAGCTCTTCACGGTGCACGGGGACAGCTTTGTGTAACGTGGCTGATCACCATGGAGGCACTGGGTGCTCAGGGCCGGGGGAGACTTGACGAGCTGAAATCCATGCTGTAAGTTTCCCTGATTCTGTGGCTGAACGATCAGAGGAATATTTTGGAGTTTAAACGTTTGTGGGCGGGGGGAGAGAATGGTGGATGCTGTGATGGTTTTGACCTGTTGGCTGTGTTTGAGATCGAGCCTCTGCAGCCCAAGACAATTCATCTCTGTCGTAAGCTTTGAGCCTCTGCCCTGCGTGAAGGGCACTGTATAAATATCTCACACGCTTTGGCTGGATGTGCCAGCTGCCCCTTTGTGACTGTAATTAATAAAATACTGTTATCATTAATATTTGTCGCCATCACACAGCGGCTTGGCCCTGCGTGGCTGGAGCCGGTCCGTGTCTGAGAGCCGCGTGTAATTGGGTGAATCGCACTTGCTTTGAGGTGATATTGTTTTGGGAATTAGTTGCTTCTTGTGTGATCATCACTGCTTCAGGAGGACATTTGAATCAGAGCTGTGTTTCAGCGGCAATGATGAGAGCGGAGGGACAGGTGTGTGGTCTCAGGGAGGGGAGGGACAGGTGTGTGGCCTCAGGGAGCGGAGGGACAGGTGTGTGGCCTCAGGGAGGGGAGGGACAGGTGTGTGGCCTCAAGGAGGGGAGGGACAGCTGTGTGGCCTCAGGGAGCGGAGGGACAGGTGTGTGGCCTCAGGGAGTGGAGGTTCAGGTGTGTGGCCTCAGGGAGCGGAGGGATAGGTGTGTGGCCTCAGGGAGCGGAGGTTCAGGTGTGTGGCCTCAGGGAGCGGAGGGACAGGTGTGTGGCCTCAGGGAGCGGAGGAACAGGTGTGTGGCCTCAGGGAGCGGAGGGACAGGTGTGTGGCCTCAGGGGCAGTGGGTTTCATAGCGTCTGGCGTTGTGACAGGTGGAGCTGCAGTGATTGCTTCTGCCCACCAGATGGCACGTGATTGACTTCCCTGTGAGGTGATGGGGAGAGAAGTCCAGATTGAGTGATGGACACTGACCATCAACAACAACTTGCATTTATATAGCGCCTCTCACACAGGGCATCGCCAGTAATCGAGTCTCACACACTGACCCCATTTACCCCATTTCCGCGGTAGGGCAGCGTCCTTCACTAAGTGACAAGATTCTGCATTTCCGGCTGAGAATGTGTCACTTTTTCCCTGATGGGACTTTGTGTGAGTGTCTGTGTATGTGTGTCTACGTGTGTGTGTATGTGTGTCTGTACGTGTGTGTGTGTGTGTCTGTGTGTGTGTGCCTGTGTGTGTGTGTGTCTGTGCGGGGTGGGGTGGGGCTTGGGTGGTGGTGGGGATGATGGCTGAGATTCTGTATTGCTTTCATTACGGAATCTGCTCCCAAGGGATCCCGGGGGGGTGGGGGGAGTGGCTGGGACCCTACAAGGGGCTGGTAGGGTGGTTCCTTGCAGGGAGTTTGACAAAGTGTGAGTTTGTGTTTAGCTGTGAGCTGGAGCCATTCACTATCCCGTGTGTTTAGCAATGGCCGGCAGCGTCTGTGTGTAAATATTTACACGAGGGTCTGTGTACATTCACTGGCTCCATGGCCACTTGATTGTCTGTCTTCATCCCGAGCTGAGGTGTCTGATTCCCCGTCAACCTAGCAGCTTGTCATTTGCTGCACACAGAGATGGCCCCGGTGAGATCCACCCACAGAACTGTGTAAAGCAAAGGCATCTGCCCTCAAACCAGACGTTGTATTTTAACAACGCGCTGCATTAAAGCCGGAGCCATAAATAATTCAGAGGAACACCTCCGCACAACAAAGCTTCAATAACATCAGGCCCGCAGGAAGCTCTTTGAATGAACTCGCATTCACTCCAGGTATAAATGGCTACGGGTTTTCCTCACAAGTTCCTGAGCTGAGAATAGCTGGAGTCTCCTCACCGCTATGTCTGTGCTCGGGTAATGCAGAGCATTTGTTCTGTCCACTGTCGGGAGGTTTGGTGACGGGGTAATTGTTGTAATGAGCTGCACACAAAGGTTAAGGACAACGGCTGTAGGTGCACACTTCAACCCCGGCCTGTTGCACTCAGTCTCAGCTCAGGCTCTTCAGCACTGAGAGAAAAGGTGCTGGAGCTGACCTCAGTGACGTGTATGACATTGAGGATTGAAAAAGTAAAACCCAGATCAACACTTTTGGACACACCGAGACAGTAGAACAAGAGGACACAGGGTTAGACGTGTAAAGGGCAATTTCAGGACAGACACCAGGAAGTTTTAACAACAGTGAGCAATTAACAACAGGAACAGGGTTTGCCAGGGAAGCTGTTAAAGGCTGTGCTGGGGAGGGTGGGAGTTCTGGAGGGATGAGATCGGACGGGTTGAACCCAACCAATCTTGTTATTTAATAATAATAATAATCCTTGCATTTGATATAGCACTTTTCACGTCGGGAGGACGTCCCAAAGCGCTTCACAGAATACACTGTAAAGTGAATTGACTGTATATTTGTGGGCGAACGCGGCAGCCAATTGCGCACAGCAATGTCCCACAAACAGTCGTAGATTGAAAATGACCAATTTATTATTGTTTTTGTTTTTTGGAGGGATTATTATTAGGTGTATGGAGTGAGGAAACTTGCCCGAGGTTTCGCCCTCTGCCTGGAATTGAACTCAGGTCTCTCACTTGCAAAGCGAGTGCTCTAACCACTGAGCTACAGGACTCCACGATTTCTAGGTCCTATTAGCTACATTGCTTTTATTTATTGCTTCTGGAGGTTTGTGACTGTGGAACTGCACACGGCTGATCACGGCTGAGTGTCCATTTTGGCGTCTAACTGTTGAACGAGCAGCATTGCAAGCTGCCACCTCCAGGGCAATGGGAGCGGGAGGATTGGAGTTAAATGTAATTGTTTTTTTCTCTCTGCTGTAAAGGGTTATATTCCTGAAGTTAAAGAGAATCAACAGCCTATAACAGTTTCATTAAGGCTCATTTATGTGCTAAAAAAAACAAATTAGCTTATTGATTTCTCCCCCTGCTCCTGCCCGCGCAGATGATCATTAATTACCTGCTGCCCTGAGCCCTGAGGCCACACTGAGCAACTGCACGTTTCCCTGCTTTGCTTTGGGCCGAGGCTGGGGCTGGATCTCCGTCTGTCTCGCTATGATCTCTGTCCTTCACTGTCTCTCGTGGCTGCTGTATCTCTGTGGCAATGGACAATGGTAACTGAGCTGATGTCACGATGGCTCTGGTGTGTGGAACATGTGCAGCTACAGTGAGCTCACTCTCTGCCTCAGGAGCTGTGAGGGGGCCTCACTCATTCCTCTGACTCTCACTGCGAGAAAAATACTGGACTTACTCAAGTCCAAAATTGAGGGAATCCACTCAGGTGCCACTGCCCTCCCAACTTCCACCCCCTCCCTAACCCCTACCCCTCAAAACTACCCATCCGACAATTACCCATCCCTCCTTCCACACTTTTGAAGCCCACCACCTGCTCCCTGGACCCCATCCCCACCCCTCTCCTTAAATCCCAGCTCCACCTCCTTGCCCCACTACTCACCGACATCATTAACCTCTCCCTGTCATCTGGCACTGTTCCTTCCCCCCCTCAAAACAGCCACTATCACCCCCACTTTGAAGAAACCTTCCCTCGACCCATCACAGCTATCCAGCTACCGGCCCATCTCAAATCTCCCTTTCCTATCCAAAGTCTTGGAGAGAGCCATTGCCTCCCAGCTTCGCTCTTTCATCTCCTCTCACTCCCTCCATGAATCCCTCCAATCGGGTTTCCATGCTGCCCATAGCACGGAAACTGCTCTGGTCAATGTTACAAATAACATCCTGAACATGTGTGACCAAGGCTCCTCATCCTCCTCGACCTCTCCGTCGCCTTTGATACCATGGACCATTCAATCCTCCTCCACCATCTCTCCTCCTACCTCAACCTTCAGGATTCTGTTCTTGACTGGTTCAGGTCCTACCTTTCACGCCGCTTCCACTTCGTCGCGGCAAACGGCTTCTCCTCCAGCCCCCGCACGGTCTCGTGCGGTGTTCCTCTGGGCTCTGTCCTCGGTCCCCTCCTCTTCACCCTCAACATGCTCCCCCTTGGTGACATGATCCGCAGACATGGGGTAAATTTCCACATGACACCCAACTCTATCTCTCTGCCTCCACCCTCAACTCCAGGACTACTGGCGTCCTGACCGACTGCCTGTCCGACATCAAGTCCTGGACGAGGGACGACTTTCTCCAACTCAACACCAGCAAGACCGAGCCCTCCTGATTGGCTCACGCCAGCGCCTCCGCACCTCGAGCGCTGGCAGCATCAGCCTCCACAGCTGCACACTCAACCTCACTAAGCCAGTCAGGAACCTGGGATCCTGTTTGACCCTGAACTGTCCTTTCTCCCCCACATCAGAGCCATGACCGGCTCTGCCTACCACCACCTCCGCAACATTGCCAGACTCCGCCACTGCCTCACCCCTCAGGCTGCCGAAACCCTCACTCACGCATTCGTCACATCAAGGCTCAATTATGGAAACTCCCTCCTCATCGGCCTTCCCAACTCTTCCCTTGACAAGCTGCAGATCATCCGAAACTCTGCAGTGTACTCTCGCGCACCAGGCTCCGTGACCCCATCATTCCCACCCTCGCCCGACTCCACTGGCTCCCCATCCCCCACAGGATCGAGTTCAAGATCCTCATCCTCACCTTCAAGGCCATCCATGGCTTTGCCCTCTCCTACCTCTCTGACCTGCTAACTGACTCCCTACCAATCTGCCCACTCCCTCCGTTCATCAGGCTCTGGCC